CGCTAAACTAATCCGTCCCGCCGCCGAGATCGAGTATGGTCACGTGACGAGACTGCGCAGCGAGGGCTACATTTTTTTGGTTACAGTCGCGCGGTACAGCCTTGGGCGGAAGTCACTCTCTGACAAAATAAAAGTAGAGATATTGGATCATGGATCTATAGAGAATAGAGAATATAGCTAAAGCTTTATCCAGTATCTCTGAAACGAGTAACGAGCTCAGTATAGCCTAATGTAGCGGAGTAAGAGTACTGTTTTTTCTTCATAAATCTACTCCAGTAAAAGTAAAAAGTATAGTGATTTAAAACTACTCCTACAAGTATTTTATTTTTGAAAAACTAAAAGTAAATGTAACGGAGTAAGTGTAATTCGTTACAACCCACCTCTGCTTGCGAGCATTCTTAGTACCAAATAATAGAACCACTGAAAGTATCAGTCCATATGACCTTTTCCATTCCATTGAGTTCAAACATAAAGGCTTGCTGTGGCCCCTGTTTGACCTCGGTTTATAAATGCTGATCGAACTGAACTAGATTGAACATTGTTCTTCTGCATATTTTTGGAAGGTGGGAGAAGTCTTCCTCTGAGACGTCCCTATTGGAGAAGCCAAGCTCATGGTCACTCATATTGTACGTCAGGAGGTTGAGGGTAGGAGCTGGTGAGTCTGGCAATGTAGCCGTTTGGTAGTGTAAGGTTGGTCAAGGTTACATCAGTGAAATTCACATACCACAAGTCTCCAATCCAGGATTTTCCATGACAGATCCCACAACCTTACCCCTGGGCCATAGCCTTCTCAGTCGACCAAATACTGCAGAGGAGAAGTCCTTGGTACACAATCACCTTAAATTTGTCCACCACAGTTATGCGAATGCCAAGCCATGTAGAAGTCTTGCTGGTGTGTTATGTTACAGTTGCTAGGCAAGTATGTAACCAGGACCCAAATGGAGCACAATATATCAGACAGAATGGAGAGTTATATGTACGTGAAAAAATTAAGACACCCCATTAAATAGATTAAATAAAGTCAGCTCTTTATTAAGAAACGTTCACATCCATGTCCAATCTTATTTTTATTTATTTCTGGAAAAAGAAAGTGATTTAATAGCAATTTTACAAACAAAAAAAAGTACTGTTGTTTTACTCATAGAACAAAAGATATGAACAAAAAGTCACCCCACAGCATCTCAATGGGATTTAGATCCGGGCTTTGACTTTGGCCATTCCAGGACTCTCCAATTCTTATTTTTGAGCCAGTCCTTGGTGGATTGTTCCAGTGGACTCACCACCTGCAGGAAGGTTTGGGGGGGTTGGTACAGTGCAATGTGATTTGGGTGGTGACTGCTGCCCCCACGACCTGGTAACGGATAAGCGAATGAAAATGGATGGATGGATGGATGGATGGTGGATTGGTGGATTTCTGATACACGGTAGAATTCATAGTGGATTCTATGATAGTGAGCTGGCCAGGTCCTGCTGCAGCAAAGCATCCCTAAACCATGACACTTCCTCCTCCATGCTTCACAGTTGGTATGAGGTTCTTTTCTTGGAATGTTATGTTTGGTTTACGCCATACATGTCTTCTGTTCTGGTGTCCAAATAATTCAATTTTAGACTCATCTGTCCAAAGAACATTATTCCAGAAGTCATGGTCTTTGTCTACGTTCTCTCTGGCAAACTTCAGTCTGGCCTTAATGTTTTTCTTAGAGAGCAAAGGTTTGCACACCTCCCATGAAAGTCAAACTTGTGTAGTCTCTTTCTAATAGTAGAGTCATGCACTTTCACATCAACAGTAGCAAGAGCCTGCTGTAGGTCCCGTGATGACATTTTAGGATGTTTGGTGACTTTTTTAAGCATCTTGTGAACTTGCTTGGACGGCCGGACCTGGCAATTGTTTTGAATGTCCTCCACTTGTAAACAATTTTCCGGATGGTGGAATGGCTGATGTTAAATTCTTTTGAGACCTTTTTAAATCCCTTACCAGACTCATAAGCAGCCACACTCTTCTTTCTGAGGGCCTCAGACATCACTCACTCTCACTTCAACCATCAGGGGCACACCAAACCTCAGACATTTAGTCTGAGGTTTAAATAGGACAAGGCTCCTTCAAAATGCTGGGTAATGATGTTCTGATCATGTGCACCTGATGTGATACATCAGGTGTGATTTTAACCATTTTAAGTGGGAAAATATGAGGGGTGTCCTAATTTATTCCTAACCAGAAATTTCATTCTTTTTAAATTACATTTCACAGAAGGCTTTTCTTAATTTTTAATTGTTAAGTTATATTATTTGGATCCCTCAATATTGTTAAAATCTATATTAAATATCTATATGTCCAAAGCACAGACAGGTGCTTTTGTTACTAAACCTGAAAAATTCCTGGATATCTAAGTGGACACCTCTATGACAAATGTGCCTCATTAATGGCTGCACACAGATGGACGGTGTACAAACACACACAGGGATGTAGACCCGGAGCTCTTGCTGTCCTAAGCTGCAGCGTGTACGCCAGTGCAGCTGTCTGTGCTTCATTACTGTTCACACACAGACAGTTGCAGTGTTTTTGTGTCAATGTTTAATGAGGGGCTGGGAGTCTGGGGACCTTTCTGCTGTCAAGAGTTCCTGTAGTCTGGAGCTACCACCTGTTCCCATTCACTCCCTAAAGGCCTTAACACACACTAACACACACACACCCAAGGAAACACATGCAGACACATGGAGGCATGCAAACAAGAAGGAGCAAGCACAAAAACATGTCGACACAAACACAGCTAACATACACTGATTTAGTCATCCTGTGGCACCACTGTCAGCGTTGGAGCTGTTTATTCTGGTTGCAATAACAGCTGGAAAGACAATGGCAACTTCAAACGGACCTTTTCGTATTCCTTGTCAACTTGTATGATATGATGAGTGTGAAGCCGGTGAGAGTGATCCCGTCTCTGACTTTTTCTGACATGGCCGTTTGATGGTGATCTGCACTGTCCTGACTGATCGGTTCCAACGCCTTCTTTTGAACCCACAGTTTGTGTTCTGTAACAATGTGGGACACACTTTTCAGGAAAACTGCAGCCATGCAAAAAAGTTCTTCTTGTCAGAATTCGTAGTTTCTTTTTGTCCTGTGCTTTTGCAAGCGGTCGGGATATTTTTTGGTGGATGTGTGAACAAGTGTGAAATTTACACATTAAAAACCTCTACCTATAAAAACCAAAAAAGTGTGTGTTAGGGGAGGACATGATAAGCATCCAGCTATTGCTGGGGGAAAAAAATCATCTTTGCCTCCTTTAAAATAGATATGCCCTATTTGCAAATTTTGTGCTGATTCCAAATTCTGGTATTTCAGAAAGTGTAACGTTTTGCCTACTTCAATTTCCTTTAATTGACTGCATATACAAAAATAAGAGTTCCGAGTGAAAAATGTTAGTCTCATAACAAGTGCCTACTATACATCTACCCACTGACTTTACTCTCTTTACATCAACAACTTTGAAAATAAAGAGCTCAGAGACTGAGGCACTGAATGAGTGGATTTCTGTTCACCCACCTTTCTGACAAATAAGAGGTTCACAATACGTCTGCATAATCTTTCTATCCACTGACCACTTATAACGCAACATGGATAATCTCACGAACCAAACCAAACATCTGGCTAGCCAGCCAGCCAGTAGGGTGCTAACGTACCACAACAAAAACCAATGCTACATGTGTACTTGTTAAGATGTTGTAAATACATTTATTCAATCTTTACAATATATTCATTGTATTAAGTTTCCATATCAATTTATACTGTTATTGAATGCTGTTATTGTGCTGTACTAAAAGGAAAAGTGCTGAAGACAGGTGTGCATGCTGATAGTTTACATAACAGGATGATATGGACAGCACTGAATGGTACCGACTGTTACACCTGGAGATAGAGACAGGACACAGAACCGATCAGAACTGGTTTCTTTGCCCAAATAAGTAGACCGACGGAAGATCAACAAAAGACAAAGAGAGAAAAACATCCGAACTGGATGGTCTTATCTGACTTGATTAACTACAGCATTTCCACATAGCTCCTATTGGTGGAGAATCCTAGTTTGAAGCAGTCTTTACCAATCAGTGCTCAGAAGTTGCGTGAGAACACCACATGGCTGTAAAGGGTTAAGGTACTGACCATTGAAGTTTGTGTGTAAAAAAAAAGTATTTAAGCTTTGAGCACTGAGGAGTTCCTCAGTAATGTATATTTGATTATTTATTTGATCAGATCTTTATTTGATCTTTATTTGAATTCTTTGTGTGTTGAGAAACTGGGGTATGAACTTACAGCATTTTTTACAGTCCTATCTAACGGAGGAAGTTTCCTGACAATACTTGTCCTGTTGTTTGCATCTTTGGAATAACTTCGCAATGATTTCCTAAACAGTGACCTTGTTGTTACATATATTACAATAGCTTGGAGCTTTCTTGACTCATCATTAAGTACTCCCAAGCTAACGACATGTTGGCTTCAGCTTGTGAATTTGAGCTTCCATTTCTGTTCTTCAACACAAAGTTGTACAAAAGTGATTGGCTGCAAAATCAGAGAAAATATGTGAGCTGACACAGAGTTGAGAGATCTACAGTCTTAGGGTAAAACATGTTAAAAATTGTCAGATTCTTCAGTAACAATTTGTGATACTGTTTTAAAAATAAAAACTGCAGCTGTGCACAAAAAGTTTTTCTTGTCTCGCAGTTTGTACTTTATTTTACAAAGGGTAGGGTTGAAATGATAAGGTGGCAGTAAGAAACAAAAAAGTAAGCTCTGGGGGGAGGGATCAGCTCAAAGCCATAGTTCAGTTAGGTCAGACATTACTCTTTCATGCTGATCCGCTGCGGCCTGCCTGATTGGCTCCACTGCCTCCTTTCAAACTCAAACTTACATTTAAAAAAAATGCAGCTGCGGAATAGTTTAGTTTTGCAAAAAGCTGGTGAGAGAAAACAGACGTATACATTTCAAAAAACTAACTTTTATTAAAACAAAAAACAAACAAAAACAATTATTGACTCGTTAACAAGATTATAAAACAGTGATTTTAGTTACATAAATAAATTGATATCGGTGTATCAAATCTTAATTTCATAAGCATGTACTGTATACACGGGTCGTTGTAATAAATAAAATGGGAGCAGAAGATTCCTATACAGACAAAAACAAAAAGGAAGGAAGGAAACTAAAACAGCTAGAAAGACTCAGAGAAAATTGTTTCTGAAGAGAACAATAGACACTGGACACTGATATTTCTTTTCCACCAAACACACATGAGGAATTGCTTTGTTAAAGCATGTGTTACACAGCCATTCACTTACTAATTAAGGACACTAAAGCTGGTACCAAGGTGGGTCGTCTCTCACCTCTGAGAACGCGTTTGGTTGTTAGGCAGATCTCCTGTTTGGTTATTTTAAAGCGTTACGACAAGGCAAGAGAAAAAGGCTGCTTTTAATCAGACACAGAATAAAGAAAATAATATGCACAGTAAAGGAAAAGGAAAAATATAAAGAGGAAGGTACAAAGGCAATTAATGACAGGACAGCGGACCGTTGCAAAGGAGACACTGGCAATTCTTCACCAAATAAATGAACTGAGGAAACACGTGTTTGTTTTTTTATCTTGAAGTGGTTGAAACCGTGCTTCATTATCACTAGAAGTCTAAAGGAGTTGCACTGTTACTGCGTGATATTACAGTGAGGCTAACTTCTGCCAAGGCTAGAGATAAAAGTTTTCTTTCTTGCATGCATATGTAGTACTTCAAGAAATCCTGCTGTTTTCAAACATTTATCGACCGGTGGCCTGAAGTAGCCTATCTCCCTTCACGGCCCTGGTTTAGTCAGCAGGAACAAAAAACAATTTTCCTCTGTGAAATTACCAATTTGACTCAATCTGCATTTCTGATGAGATCCAGTGTCTCAGGTATGAACACTCGTGGCCTGGGAGTCCAGAAAGCCATCAACAAGGTCAGTCTAGTCCTTCTGATGTTTGGGTTTTCAAGAGAAGAAATAATAAAAAAGAAAGAAGACAAAAAAGAGAAAGAGGAGAAGAAGAAGAGAGAGTAAACTACAGCGGCTTCAAGTGTTTCACATTACATAGAATACTCTGTATAAATTAGTTAACATATACTTTCAGATCCTCCATATTCAGACATATATTATGGCATATATACAGAGTACAATAAATGCTCACTCATGTTGTGTCATCTCTTTTTGTCTTTAATTCCTGGAGTCAGTGATTCATTCGCCTTTTTTTCCTGTGTAGAGAAATCCCTGAGAACGTTCTGGTTGACAATTACTGAAGGTTCCACGCAATGAACTAGCACAGCAGAAAGTCTCATTTTCTGATGATTCACATGCACAGAGGGAAATGACACTGGCCTCATTTGAAAACTTGTACAATGGTGGCTGAAGAGATCAGATGAGGCAGCCGCACACACAAATGTCTCGTCAGAGCCTCGGCCAATGCTTTTTTTGTTCCGTCTTTTGAATCTTGGGTGGGGTTTAAGTACCGATGCTGGGGGCAGTGACGTGCAGCAGAGCGAAAAGCAGTAATAATACTCAATATCTTTGTTTAATGTGCTGCCAGTGTAGCTGCATTCTAATCCCCACAGATCATACATAAGAAATGGATGCAGCCATATTTACACTGGTTTCCGTATTGTCTCTTGTTGTGATTTACCATCTGATTTAACTTAAATAGGATCTTTAAATTTAAACAATTTACATCTTTTTGGTTAAATAAGAACTGAAACTATTCAATGTGTTGATAAATAGTAATAATATATATTATAGATAAAAGTTATTGTAAATTCAGATTGAAGTATTTTCCAGTAAACTCCTAGTCACATGGAGTTACAACTGAATCCAGAGCAGCACTATATTTCGCCATTAAACTGTTCTTTAAAAAATAACTGCTGTTTCCATTTCTTATATATGTGTCAATGAGTTGAACCAATACACATGAGAGTGAGAGTCGATAACACCACAGCTACAGCACAAGCTCAGAGCAGTGCTGCGAGTACTGAAGCTAATGTCTGGGACCCAAACAAGAGTAACAACTGCTGAAGTGCCAATTCTGCTGCTGCGTCTGGTATATGCTAATGATGTTTTTCTGTCAGTGCTTAACCAAGCTGTGCCATGCTGAGCTGAGCTAAGCTAAGCTGAGCCAAGTCAAGCTGAGCTTTGCAGTGCTGTCCAGTGCTCCCTGGTGAGGGCCTCGACAGAGGGAGGTGTTCTGTGTTGTTTTAAAGCCTTCATTTCTCTTTGAGGATGCCGAGATGTTTCTTTTTTTCCTGTTTTCTCTATTTCTTTTTACATGAGCGCTATTATAAAAAGGGCTTCAGCCACGTGACAACATATACACTGAAAAGGGCAAAAAGATGTTTCAAATAAAAAAAATGTAAAAAAGCCATTTAATTTTTCATTTTCCTCTCGCACACATGTAGAGAAATACACACAACATTCACAACGTGACAAATTTCCTCTCTTCTGAAAAATAAAAAACACTTAGTAGTAGTAATAATAATATGATTAATAATAATAATAGTAATAATGTTTATAACAATAACAACAGCATGAAAAATAATACCGCATGTGGCTCTGTTGATTTTTTTCCCTTTCTTTCTTTCTCTTTCTGCTTGATCCTACAAGTCACATCCCTCTTTTTTACCTGTCCAAAAGAAGTTCAAAAGGCAGACTCAAGTTAATAGAAAAGCACTAGAGTCGGGGGGGGGGGCTTTTGTCAACCCCCCCAGCCTCACCCTTAGCCAAACCGCTCCCTCACCAGCATCATAAGTTTCTTTTTGCCCTTGTAGATCTGTTTCAGGTTGTCTATGAATTGCGTGAATTGAATGTGCCCGACACGAGCCATCCGGAAAGTCTCCCGGGCTTTTCCCAGGAACTCAATGAATTCACTGTAGTGGCGCGGGCTGATGTGTGTCAGACGAGAGTGCGTGGTGTTGATGTAGGCTCCGATGGTTGCGTCCAGCAGTTGCCGGAGTGGCGCCTTGTCCAGGGACATCAGTTTCCCAGAGTTCCTGCGGCTGTGCAGTGCCGACACCATGCCCGGTGTTGTCAGTGTGCACCGCCGCAAAATGTCAGAGAGCACGGTGGCGCACTTCACACTCTTGACCACTAGGGGGATGACGGCAGCCAACTCGTTTTTCCCCAAAGAGTGACTGAGAGCACAGGCCCACAACACATCGTTGATGGCTGGGTGTGTGTCCTGGTTGTAACTAAGGTTCAGATGAACCATGGCTAAAGTTGCCAGCTTGTAGGCCCTCATTGGATAGCTGCGATGTTCCATGTAGCGGGCTATTGTGAACAGCTGAGTGTAGCTCATCCCTGTGGCTGCTGCATCCAGTACAATCTGGTAAGCTGTTTCGAAGGCAATGTGGTCCTTTTCACAAAGTGTGAGGGCGGAGAGAGCACAGTTCTGAGGGTCCTTCATGGCACACTGGAGGGCGAGGGTGCGGGCAGATGAAGCCAGGTTCTCCTGCTGATGGCAGTCAAGGTGGAGGCGGACAATAGTGCTGTTGGACATGACAGTGGTGGCCACAATACCGGTGGCTTCTGTAGGGGTAAAGAGGGTGAACCAACCCTGCATGATGCTGTCCAGTGCGTACACACCTATGAGATACACATGGAGATTGTTTCTTCATTAATTTACCTGCCACAACCTAAAACCCAAGTCCAATCAAGAGAGCACAGTTTCACATATACAGTATGTACACAAAAAAAAACCCAAAACAAAACAAATGACTTGATTCTCAATTTCCAATTTTGGCTGAGGTAAAAAAAAAAAAGTAGTACCCAGCAAACCCACGCACATGTGGGGTGAACATACAACCAAAGAGACCATCTACCTCTACTGGGATATGAACTAGTGACCCTATAGCTGTGAGGCAACAGCTCAAACCAGTTCATTGCAATGTGGGACAGAACAGTGAGACTTACCCACTTCAGTGGCACATGTGACTAACCAGCGCACCATCTCTCTCCTTCTCCAGTTTAATGTAGACAGAGTTATCCTCATAACCTGAGAAAGATGTGAAAGATTAATGCACGGGCGAAAAAACAATCAGCTAGTAAGATTAACAGTGTTGAGTCAAATTAATAATCAAATTAAAGTCTAAAGCAGGCGTGGGCAAACTTTTTCACTCACGGGCCACAACTGTCCTAAAATTGAACAGGGTGACCAGATCAGGAGTAGATAAGTGGAGCGTTTGTGTGAACATGTAAAAGTCGTGCATAAAGGATAAAATGCTTTTATCATTTTCTATGCCATCTATTGGGGAAATGTGGGCATTGCAGGGAAAAGGCAGAAGTATAATGATAATAGAAATAAATTATATAATTTGGGCCGGAATAAAAAGCTGAACGGACCACATCCGGCCCCTGGGCCTTAGTTTGCCCATGCCTGGTTCAAAGGAAAAAAAAGAAAATAAAGCCAAATTTTGTAAATCATAGCAGTATGAACTTATTCTATATAGAAAAAAGCCAAATCATGATATGTAATATATGTAATGTATATATATATATGTATTTATGCATATGTATATTATGTATTATGTATATTTATGTTATGTAAAGTATATTGATATGTAAAAAACAGTCAAACTTAGTTGAATGAACAATCTTTATAATATATTTTAAAAGTGTGATGAAAACCTGGTTGCTAAAGACTAAGAAGCTGTTTTAACCCTTGTGTTGTCCTTTAGGTCTAAATGACGTGGTGCCTGATAATTTGCCTTTGTGTGTGTGTGACCATTGCGAGGATGCTGGGTGTGTACAAAATGTAAAGGTAGGGATAAAGAAACAGCAAGAAAGTAACTTATATACACTAGCTGTCTTCAGGCATTGGTTGTAGGTTTAATATAATAATAAAACAGAACCTGACAATATAATCAAACCATGTTAAAAAACTACGTGAGCGGGCTAGTGGTGTTTTGAAAAAGATTAAAAAAAAGGAAACATTTTAACCCAACTGAAAACAGTAAACAAGGTCAGAATAAACCACGCACACTCCTATTTGTTTCATTAGTCGCTCACTGGACTCACAGCTGTCTTTTTTTAGGCTTTGAAAGCAACAGAAGCTAAGTGTGCTAACAGTTTTATAGTCTTTTTTCTAACTTTTCATATTTATCTTTCTAGCTAAGTTACTGACAGCTAGCATGTCAGCAAATCAGCCACCAGGGAGGCCTATCACTACATATCTCATTCAAGTTGGAAATCCATCTGTTAATAAATAATGCCTTTACCATGCTGACAAAAAAACTGCACAGTCAAGCTATAACCGCGCCTAGCTTTCACTGTGCATGTGCACGTACTGACAGTAAGCTCATATCTGTACCTGCAGACCCAGTTCCAGAGAGACTTTGAGAAGTGTGATGTCAGGAAGGCTGTCCATCAGAGTGGCAATCTTGAAGGCGTCCTGTGCCAATTTGAAGATGTAAGATGAGGAGTGAATGTTTTTCTGGATGGATTCCAGGACCGTCTCCAGCCTGCGACTGTCACCTAAAAACACATGCAGAGTAGGGACCAAAATTAGCACTGAGTTCGCCTGTCCATAAGTGAGCCACAACAGAAGACAAAACCTTTGTTAGAAGTAGAATCACACAGATGGGAGGCTTAGGCACTGTTTACACGGCTGCAATACAACTACAGAAAAACCCCAATTCTGTCTTTTGTCTGGACAGATTTGCAGTCTTTGGGGTGGGGGTGATTCCACGCTCTATGAATACTGGTCCCAGATGGTGTTTTCAGACAGACATGGATCTATTCTGGCTCTGGTTCCATTCTGGAGTCTGGGAACCTTGGTGCTTTCTGGTGCACCAGCTCGAATTTATACCAGTTTAAATAGAAACAAAATGGCTGTAGATCACTTCACACCAGTTGAAGACCACATGGTCACCAAACATTTGGTTTCTGCAAACCACTACACATTCTTTTTCTCCATGTTCGCCGTCACATTCTCCGTCAGTCGCTGCTTCTTTGATTTTTTTTTTGTTTGTTTTTAAACAGAGTAAGACACACGGCCGCTGATGATGTCACGGTTCACAGGGAAGAACCTGGTATTTCTTGGTCTAACCAGTCAGCCCTGCTCAACGTCACACAATATAACAACAATCGTGGACACCAGGCTACATCAGGAGTTGTATTCAGCAGCTTCAGTTAAACCCTGAATTTTCTTGTGCCGGGTCTGTGTGAACGGGATAACATTGCTTTGCATCTGGAGGCTCCGAGGTCGAATCACAGCCGATTGCTGCCTTTATTTGTATTTGCTTTTGTGAGGGTCTACCCACCTTTGGCGGCGGTGAGCATGGTGGAGGCCAGCTCACACTGCTGAGACTCTATATGACTCAGCGTGAACCAGCGTGGGTATCGATTGGGCACCACAGAAACAATGTGGTGGGGTCGTGACAGGTCACCAGATGAGGCTGTAGACTCCAACACAGGTAACCTGATGGACATTGAGACACAGAGGTTCATAAACATTAGTCACACTACAAATTCACTTTAATAAATAAAACACCAGTGGACAAAAAACAAAGTCGATTCACATCAAAAGGTGGCTTGGAAGTGATAATCGGTGACACCAAAGGTCCATTAAATCAGTAACATCAGAGTGACTCCTTTGCTTTCTTCTTACAACAACAAGCAGACTAACAGAAATTCTGTACAGACAAAAAAAAGGGCTTCATTATGACATTCTAAAAGTGACTTCAAATGATGACTTTGGCGATCACGGGGGATTACAGTTATCATATCCCTGCAATTTACTGGCAACGTAGTATTTAATCACCTAGAAACTGAGGTATAATTAGTATTTTCTTCAGTCTAATTGGTCATAATGAACTCAGAGCTACGCGACACCTGCTAGAGGATGAAAGAGCTTTACTACTGTCTTTGTCTCATTACACCAGGGGTCGGCAACCCACGGCTCAAGAGCCGCATGTGGCATCTTTCACCCTTCTGTTGTGGCTCCCTGTGACTTTGGAAAATAAATAATGAGTATTTAATTAAAATGTATTTTTTATTTTAGTTTGTTCTTTTTAAAATATAATTCTAAATTTGAAGATTATGGTAATCTTGTAACACGTTTTTTTTTTGTCGCTCAAAATACGCGTTACATCTGCCGATGTGCGACACCTGGCACATATCTGGTCGCGCGGATTTATACCGCACCTACACCACCAACGTGATTTATTGAGCTTATCGGCCCCTGGTAGGTAAATGATGGATAAATCCAAAAAAAGTTTCTGAAGAAAACAGAACGTTTAATGCTAAGTGGGCAGATTAATTTGCTTTCACTGCTGAAGAGACTGGTTCGTTCTTGCTCAGAATCGCAAATGGAGTAATATTGAAAACCTTCCCAAACCGGTGTTATGAAGTTTTTTCCTACCTATAGCTCTTTCCTCTAGTTAACTGTGCATGCGTACATCGGCCAATTTGCGCTGCAGACAAGCCATAGTTGCTACCTGACAGTTTCTTGAATTTTTAATACTTTATATGACCAGTATTCAGTACATAGGTTTGACAGTCAAATTATTTCAACTTGCCACGTGCATGAGATCATGTCTGAATGCAGTTTAAGTAGCTAATACTGCGAATTATCGTCATTTCCATGTAGTCATAAAACTTGGTCATGTAGCCTCCGAATTTTCCAACTGTTTTAAAACAGTACCTTCCTAAATTAGCGCAGGGTTTAAAAAAAAAAGGAGAAAAAGGCAAATTTGACATAATTTCCTAACCATTTTATGAATTTTGTGTGAAATTATATCAGAGTTGCCTTTTTCTCTGAGAGAAATACTTAATTTAATAGAAAAAAGTCAGGTGATCACTGTTGAGCTTTCATTCTAAAATAGCTTACATTGGATGAATTAGGGCTTAAGGTTAGATAGCAATGCACATAAACATTTTAAACTTCTGTCTCTCAAGATTATCAGTCATCCAGGTCATGGTCAAGGTTGAAGAGTTCTTTTAGGCAACACGGGGGGGCAATTCCTCAGGACAAGACTCAGCTGTTCACATACGCCTCAAGGACAAAACACACTCCTTCGAGGGCAACAACCTTTGTCAACCGGGAAAAAACACCACTCAATAGAGGAGGTGGGCTGAGACACACCCTATCACCCACAAGGTATGTGCTACTTTTGAATGGAAATTACTTGACATGGTCTATGGATGTACTTTTGCACTAAAAAATATTTTGATCATTTTGTCAG